TCGTCGTCCATTGGTACGTCCACCGGGCAAACAGTAGGGAAGAGGTCCGGCTTCTTCCGAGGCTCTGTCCACGTTCTGCTCGTCCCAGTCAGCTTCGTCTTCTGCCGAGGCGAAGGCTCGGGTGCCAGTGAATCCGCCCGTGAGGTCAGGTCTGTTGGCTCTGACGTACGCGAGATGAACGTCGAGGGTGAGGTGTTCGTAGAAGATTACATCACGTGCTGCGACTGTTTCCTTGCTGTTGATGTCGAAGATTTTCCATGCGTTGTGGTGTTTTTCGATGCCCAGGTGTACTCCCCACTGTGCTCGTTGGGAGAATCGACCGGCGCGTGCAGATGGTGGTCGGTACTGTACCATGCACCCGAAAACTCGTAACATTTTTGTGTTGCCCAATTTTCCTGTCCACAGCAGGTGTGGTGATGCGTTGTTCGGGAGCGATGATGACGAGAGCAAGTTGTGCAGCATGACGGCGTGGTCCATTGCTTCGGGCCACTGGTGGTTGGGCAGATGCATGCCACGTAGCAGCTTGCGCATGGTGGCTTGAAGTGTCCTGTTCATCCGTTCTGCTACACCTTGCTGTTGATGGGCGTAGGGAAGGGAGATGAGCCGCTTGATTCCCTTCTCTGCCAAGTAGTCCTTGAACCTCTGTGAGGTGTATTCTCCTCCCCCGTCGGACTGAAAACTTTTCAGTTTTACGCCCGATTCTCTTTCTGCTGCAGGAAGCCACGCGACGAACGCTTCGAAGGCCATGTCGCGGCTGGGTAGGTTGAGGTGCCAGACGTATCTGGTTGCGGCGTCGATGAAGGTAATCGTGTAGTTGTAAGTGTTCTGTCCAGGTTCGCGGTTGTACAAGATGTCGCTGTACACTTTCTCGAGCGGTGCGTAAGCTGGTGCGCTTGGATTGTGGTGAGATGGAAATGGTTGTCGCGTTAGGTCTGCTTCGGGGCAGGTGAAGCATGTTCCTCGAGCTCGCTGAAGTTCTCTGCCGTCGGTCAGTAGGAGTGAGTCCTTGTCAAGAACTCCTGCTCTTATTGTGTTGTTTAACACCGTGTGACTCGGATGTCCCATCCTTGCGTGCCAGGTTCCTTCAGTGGCGCGGTGTCCTTGAGAGCGTCGGTACATGTCGGAGTTGGAGTAGAAGCCGGCGGTGAAGTTGGCGCTACGGTGAACTTCTCGCGGTGCTGGTTGAAGTTGTTGTGCGGGTGTTGGTGGCGTGTCGTCGATGAAGAGTGGTGCCGTCGAAGGACCGGCGACTGGTGTTGATGTTCCTACTGCTGCTGTCGTTGCTACTCCCGATGTTGTCTCTGCTGCTGCCGATGTTGCCTCTGCTGCTGCCGATGTTGTCTCTGCTGCTGCCGATGTTGTCTCTGCTGCTGCCGACTGTTGAATCGTTGCTAACGCTCTTGTTCTTTCTGTTTCAGGAATGGTGTGTGAGTACCAGAAGCCGCCCGGACTGAAGTCTGGATCAAGGTCTGGAGGGTGCGTCCAATTAGTAAAATTGACGATGGCGTCACTGTCAGCGGTGCCAAGGTCCGGAACGAAGTCAAGAACGAAGACGTTGTTCTTGAGGACTGCCTTTCTGATGTAGAGACCGCCTCTCCCGTGGTACAGCTTGAACTCCTGGGTGGTGCTGTCTGCTTCAAGATGGATGCCTTTCGCCATCAGCTGACTGACGCTCAGTAAGTTGTATCCGAGGCCTTCTGCAATTAAAACCTTGGACATTTGTAGGATGACGTTTGTCTCCCGTGACTGAAGTTGAACGATTCCTTGTCGTCGTGTGCGCAGGTTTTGGTTGTTGGCGACGGTGATGACTTGTCGTCGTGTGCGCAGGCCCCGGTCATTCTTGTCGTCGTGTTCCCTCTTGGGGGGGTGATGGCATCGATTTCATCTGAAGTTGAACGATTCCTTGTCGTCGTGTGCGCAGGTTTTGGTTGTTGACTTCTCGCTGAAGCTGATACTCTCGTTGTACGAAGCGTCCCGAAGAACACATGTGCTGCCCGCAGCAGCTATCCAGGAACCATGTGTCCTTCCCGGATGGCTCGCTTTGGGCGATGGCGGCGTACGTCGGGTTCGGGTGAAGTAGTTCGCGTCGAGGAGTGGTTTCATCGAGTTGTTCTTCCGGTGAGTAGTACGGTGGTGATTCCGTGACGCAAGAGTCACTCAGTCTTGCCATACAGCTAACGATGTTTCTTGCTCCTTGTGCAGGTTGTCCCGTTGAAGTTGTTGAAGCTTGAATTTGAGTCGTTGGGTTCGCCTGTGTTGACGTGACTTGGTTGCTTGAAGGCCGTAGATGCCGCTGCGGAGTTGTTGACTGTTGACGGTTTGGGCAGTGCGTGCGCGGGTGCCCTGAAGTTTTGCAGATGTGGCAGAAGGGAGGTACTGGCTTCGGTTGTTGTTGTCGGTTGTTGTAGTTGTTGTGTCGTCGTTGGGTGTGAAACGCAAACTCTAATGCTGTTGTCTTCTTCCTGTGTCGTTCTTCTTGCAGGTCCATGTCTTGCTGCTCGGCGTGGATTTCGGCGCAGAGTGCTGCTTCAGAGATTCTCCCGTGGGCTCGAAGAATGGCTTTGGTGGCGCGCCATTGAGGACCGAGACCACCAATGATGACCGTCACGAAGGCGTCCTCAGAGATTGACCCTCCGCATCGAAGAAGCTTGTCGCGCAATTCGCGACATCGGCTGATATACGCCATCCCCTTTTCTCCTGGTTTCATCTCAACTGTTGTCAGCTGCGCCATTAACCTGCTCTGGTTTACGCTGTCTGTTGCTTGATACAGGCTCTTCAGGTGGCTGTACGCGAGTTCCGCCGAGTTGCCGAAGGCCCGGTAAGACCGAATGTTCTGCTGCTGAGTTGGTGTGACATTCCTCAGTAGAATCGTGTACGCCATCATGGACTGATAGGTGTACTGCTGTTTCTCGTACTGCGTCCCGTTTGCTGGATATTGCAGGGACCCGTCGAAGAAGCCGAGTATCTGCGCGCCTTCCATCATCAACTCAAACTCAAATGACCAGGTGAAGAAGTCCTTTCCGTCGAAAGGTCTTGATGTCTGCAGTTTTAGAACGTGCGCGAACTGTGATTGCACTTGTAACGCGTCCAGTGGCTTGTCTTGTGCAGGTGAAGGTTGCGGCATGAAGCTGATCGACCCGCGCTCGTACGGGGCGAAGGTAGGTTGCTGCTGTTGGTTTCCGCGCGCATATGACGACCCGTCGAGGCTCATGGGCGTCGCTCCGTTGTTGCTGTTGTGTGTCTGTGCAGGTCCCGATTGCTGGTGCTGCTCGTAGAAGGACATGAAGGAGAAAAATTTCTCCATCATACTCTGGTCGAAATTGGCGGGGTGGTTTGTGGGAGTCTCAGTAGATGTCACCCTTGGTCTTGTTGTCGTGCCTTCCTCTGTCTGCAGGCCAGAGGCAGGAGGTGGAGTAGGAGTAGTGCCTGGGGAGCCGTTAGAGGAGCTCCTTTCCTTGCTTGTTTTCATGTCTTGTAATAATTTGAAGGTAGTAGAGTTTCCCCTGTTTGCTCTCATACCATGTTGGGCTGAGATAGCCCCTTAGGATCTTTTCAAGGGAGAACTCTGGGTAGGATAGTGTTGTAGTAGCGGAAGCTTTAACGAAAGATTATGAACCACCTTGCGCTGGTATGTGAGGGCAAAGTAGATTGATTATAGCAAGGAAGTACAAGATTATATAGTAATACAGGGAATATGAAAGGATGCAGTTTGTAACTACTTTACTGTTGCTGTTGCGGTTCGATACAGTACGACTCGGGCAACTGCTCTGTAACGAGTCAGTTGTGTGTCCTTAACTGTCGCGCTGTATTTGTCAGGTCAAAGGTCGCTTGACCTTTGACTTTCGCGTAACCTCCAGCAACCTCTCAACCTCCGAGGGTTGACTCGCGTTTGTTTCGGTACTGCTTGCTTCGCTTCTGGTGCGATGTTTCGACACGACTGAAGCGCTTAAGATTTACTGTTTCCAACATATGGAAGGTGTTGGGTGGGTTGGCTTGGAGAACAGCTGTAGGTTATTTAAGAATGTTAAGACAGTCGAATATAGCGTATGTGCTATTTCCATATGTATCCTTCTGATAGAGAGTACATAAATATTAAACCCGGTAGTATCTAATGTAGGGGAGGATGACTAAACGCGTGCTTATGGTAATGAAATTGAAAGCCAAACAACTGAAGAATTCTTGCCTTGAGCATGTATTGTTTTGCTTACCAAACAAGCACCCTACTAAAAATGTTTGCACAAACGAAAAACACGCAAGTCAAACGTAATCTCGTTACCAAGCACATTCACGTTCCCCTAACAACCACTCCTGCACGAAGCAACTCCCGCCGAGCCCTGTCAGAGACGTTATTTGCTTCCACCTTCAAATACCGCAGCTTTGGAACTTTCCCCAGCAGCCCGCCAATGCCGTCTGCAGTGACTCCGTCGTTGCGTCGCTGCGCCGCTCAATCATTACGCCGCTCGATCGTTGCGCCATTGCGTTGTAGCGATTTATTACATCCATAAGCTAGCTAAATCTACTAGGTTATCAATTTATTTTTTTCATCTTTAGATTAGCTTCTCTTAGTATTAATATGTTTTTCTATGATCTCATTGAACAATCTATTTTTAGAATAGTTGGTTTCAATCATTGGCAAAGTGGATGCTCTCGAGGGTTAGAGACTCCAGTGGAGGGCAAAACACTTTCACAGATGTTGCAAGAGTGATCATCTTAGAACTTGTGCTCTTCTTGTGTGGGAGTGTGTGAGTTGAGCTTCTGCAGCCCAGCTTCTCATCTTCTCCCCGACCTCCTCTCGCTTCTGCCCCTGGCAACTGCTGTGATGCTCCTGCCGCTCTCGCACCCTCTCCGCCCGCCCGTCCTGCTTCTCCTTCTGCACCTGCTGGGTCCTGTGCTGCTGCCCCTTCTGCTGCTGCCTCTTCTTCGGCAGCCGGCCTATCCACTGCTGCACCAACTGTCCCTCGTGCTGCCAGCGCAAGCACTGCTACGAGAGCGGTCTCGAATCAACGGGCCATGGCGGCCATCTGCACCACCAGCTGCTCCATCAGTGCGTGCAGCAGCGCGCGCGCCTCTTCTTGCGACACCGCCACAAACGCCGGCCACCTGCCGGTCTCCTCCCCCAGCAGGGTCTCACTGACGTCCGCCAGATCAGCCGGCAGGTTGTTTTCAGGGATAAATCCCACCAGCTCTTCTACCTCACTTTCTCCTCCATCCCTCTCCCCGTCCCTCTCTCCTTCCTCCTCCGCTTCGTCTAGAGCTGCAGTGAAGAACCCTTCAGCCTTGGCAGCAGCACAGGCATCTACCAGCGCCTCGTGCCACCTGATCCGCGCGTTCGCTTCCCGCAATGCCACCTGCACGCACCGGCAGAGAGACATGGCGGCACGGACCAGCACGACGGCATGCTGGATGCTCGCCAGGGCAAACTCGCCGTGCGTGCGCCGGGCCTTGGTGGCTGCCGCGTGAGCTTTCTTGAGCTTCCACTCAGCCGTCCTCCTGAGCGCCTTGAAGTCGTCGCATGCTGCCACCATGTCCGCGCGTGCTGCTGCCATCTCTGAGCGCACGTCCACATACCGCCGCCTTCTAGTGCCCGTCCAAGAGTGTGCAGGCGGGAGGAGGAAGAGCAGAGTAGATCTTGGAGGCTTTGCGCACTGAAGAGGCGGTAAAGGGTGGTATGGAAGGAGAGCGAGGAGAGAGCCGGGTTGGTTCGAGCGGGCGTCGTGAGGGAGTGGGTGTGCACTAAGGGGCAGTCGAGAAGGGCGAGGTGGGTGAGGGTGTGGAGGGAGCGAGAGAGCGCGTGCAACTCGCAGGCATCGATGCTTCAGCTGTGGAAGGTGAGGGAGGCGAGGCGCGGGAAGGAGGCGAGCGGCGAGAGTGCGGCTTCGAGCCACGCGGAATGGATGGTGAGGGAGGCGAGGGAGAGGCGGAGAGGGGCGGAGGAGGAGGCGAGGGAGAAGAGGGCGGAGGCGTTGGGTCGCCAGAGGGTGAGGGAGGTGAGGGAGGAGCAGCGGGCGATGAAGCGGTAGTGCGAGGGCTGGTAGAGGAGGGTGAGCGAGCGCATTGCAGGGAAGGCGTCTACTGGGGGAGGCGGAGGGTCGTTGAAGTTGAGGGATTCGCGCTCCAGTGGCGAGTCTAGCTCCAGTGACGTCAGCAGGCTGATGAAGTTGCACAGGAAGGAGAGGTGGGGTGCAGAAGGGAAGGGAGAAGGAGAAGTGAGGTGCAATCATGGGCGGCGGGGGCGGGAGGGGGGAAGGGGATAGGGAATGGGAGGGGTTGCGAGGGTGGGGGAGGGGCGTGATGGAGGGGGTGGGGGGGTTTGTGGAGACGCGTTGATGTTGAATGATTGCCTTGGAGTGGGAATTCAAGCTCCAATGACGTCACGAGGCTGACGCGAGGAAGGAGATGTGGAAGGAAAGAGGTAGGTGCAAACGAAGGGAGGGGCGGGCGGAGGGAGAAGGCGTTGAAGCTGATAAACTGGCGCTCCAGTAGCATCACGAGGCTGACGCGAGGGGAGGCGGGAGAGTGGGAGCGGAAGAGGGCGAATGGGGTTAGAAGGGTAAGGCGTGAGGGAGGGTGAGACACTGAGGCGTGGAAAGCGAGGAGAGAGGAAGTGGTGAGTAAATAAGGGGAAGGGGGACGCAGGAGAGGGAGCTGGGTGAAACAGGCTACGGCGCTGCTAAGGAGAGAGAGCGCCGTAGCTAGAAGAGAAGAAAGAGTCTAGCAGCGGAAGAGAACTCTTAGAATAGAGGATCCAAGGATACAGGAAGATGATACAAGAATCTGAGATACGAGAGACAGGGATACGAGAGTACTTTCTTAGGCTAGCAAGTGGTGCAATTCGTAGCTAGCTAGGTTTCTCCCATTCGGAGATTCCCATGCATCTCGCATGGTGAATCCCGACTTGTTACACTGGGTCGAACCGGGGCACACAAGAGTGTAAAGAAGCGGGACATTCTTGGCATCGGGAGGACCTCAACCATAAGGGTACAAGAACGGGAAAGTGCTTGCTCGGTATGTGCGTAAACTGTGAGACGGGACGTTGGAAATAAACAAGCAAACCGCGCGATTCCGTGCCACGGAATTTGTTTCAGGTATAACGAAAAGCAGAGGATGGGGGAGGTGATAACAAGTTTGCAGAGGGTAATAACCTGTAAGGGGAGCAGCTGCTACTGGAGATTTAACGACAGCGGGAGAGCAAGTAGCAGAGGCACTTACGTGCATTGTTTTGCGAGCTATCCTATCAGTCTCACAAGTCAAAGCAACCTTTACTCACGGGCATCATGTCGCGAGTTTCCTCCAAGCCTCGACGTTGATTTGAAACCGGTCGCGCACCGACACGAGCTTCAAACTTTCCAATTTTGGACAGCACGCGCCGATTCCCCCTAGAAGCTGGTCGATGGTGGTGCAACTAACCTCCACTGTGAGGTCAATTACATGGGTAAATACCCTGAAATATATGGCGAGGTTCTTCATCCATTCCCGGGCAGTGATGCCCTGTTCTTTCGTGAAAAAGTGCAGGCGTAGGGAGTAAGGCGTGCGGCGGGAGAGGCGGCGGAGGTGAGAGCAGGAGAGAGCGAGGCTGCAGCGGTCGCGCGGATGGTCGACGCGTGGAGAATGGGCTGAAGAAGCTCATCGGGGAGAGACAGCAAACGAGAGCTCTCGCGACCGCGAGCACTCTTCATCGTAACGTGAACAGAAAGAGTCCGCTGGAACTGGCCGAGAAAGGAATTGACGAACCTCTCGAGGACCCAGCACAATCAATTATGCCTGTTCTATTTTCTCATGTCAGCCTTGCCTCTAGGTGTTTAGGGTTGATGCTTCCCTAACGCATGCCTTACCGTGGGGGGTTTATTTCTGCCCGCGGGCAGGGCAGTACAGAACTTAACTAAATTTCTCTTGAATTTTGTGATAACAATAAAACAGATCGCGGTTCACGTGATTATAGGCTCGCCACGTAGCGAAAATAAATCAATCCGCGCTTTCGGGGAATTGAGCAAAATTCTCGGTTGAGAGGGAATGTGGCATCCACACACATAACTTTGCCACAAGCGCTTCGAAGGATCTGGAGGGTGCTTGAAAACGACCGAACGTGCAGCATTTGTAAGCGAGTACAAAATCATTATGAACACTATTCCTACAAAATTATGAGGCTTGCTTGAATACAACAATACCATATATGCAAAGATGATCAACTGTACATAGTGACCGGCAAAATTCAATCTAAATAGAGTATCTATACATATGGAAATATACTACTAGCAAATAAATCATTCTCAAACTTACAATATGGAACCCAGATAATAGCTGTGACTTGTTGCGCGCTGTCAAATGTTGTAGTCTTAGTGATGTGTGTTATAGGGGGTACAACTGTTAGGGTTAGGTTTATGTACCCCAACCAACCTAAGTGAAACTAACACTTTCATTCTTGACATGGTATCACCTAGGTTAGGATCCTGTGGGATCCAGCTAGAGTCTCTCGCGCCCGTGGCACGTAGTCTACCGTTCTCGCTACGCCCTTTTCGTCCCGTAGCTCCCGTTGAGGCCGTGGGTTCCCTCCTGTAGCGCCGTTAGCACTTGCCCGTTCCTTCACGAAGCTCCCGTAGCACGCGTACCCTGCCCTTCGCGTCGCGTCCCCCTCTGCATATCGCGCTGCCCGTCCGTCCCCTGCCCGCCGCGTCGCGTCCCCTAGCACGTCGCGCTGCCCGTCCCGTCCCCTGCCCGCCGCGTCGCGTCCCCTGCGCGTCGCGCTGCCGTTGCGACGCGTCCCCCTGCACTTCGCACTGCCCGTCCCATCCCTAGCCCGCCGCGTCGCGTACCCTGCGCGTCGCGTTGCCCGTCCCGCCTTGCCAAACGCATCGCGTCCCCTATGCGTCGCGCTACCCGTCCCGTCCCCAGCCCGTCGCGTCGCGTCCCCTACGCGTCGCGCTGCCCGTCGCACGCGCCCCGTGCCCCCTACCCGTCCGTCGCGCCCCCGCTGTGCCCTGCCCGTCCGTCGCGCCCGTGCGCCCTCTCCGTCCGCATCCGTCCCGTCCGTCCCTGCCTGTCGCATTTAAGGTTTCGGCGATATCGTTCCCATCTTTCTGTTTCCGCTATGGCGACCCCTAGGGTCCTGCGCTTTGACGCCGAGGGTAGGCCGCTTAAGTTTTCCGTCTGGCTCCAGCGTGCGCACCGCCTTTTAGAGAGTCAGGTTCAGGCGGATATGTCTCTGTGGGCACCCTTAGCCCCTCGATCATTCACCCATAGGCGCAGACCCTAGCTCTATTAATAGAGACCGTTATGCTCGCCAGCGTGCTGACCTTACAACATGGACATCGCGTGACGATGCGACCTTCATCGCCCTCAGCAGCCTCTTCCCTGAGTCCGTGAAGACCCACTTCACTCAGGTTCGCACGACTACTGAGTTCCTGACTGCGATCAAGGCCCGCTACGTCACTCCCACCACTGTCTCTCTACGCCGCCTGTTCCTCCCGTTCCTGTTTCCTGACCTCGCCTCGTTTGAGCGCTCTGTTGACTTGGTCGCTCACCTGCGGTCACTTGATTCTAGCTACCGCGCTGCTTGCACTGACGCACAGCTTGCACTGCTCCCTCCCCCCATGGCGATTACTATCTATTTCATCGCCACTAGCCTCCCTGACCGCCTTGCCTCGGTTCGTGACGCGCTTCTTTTGAAGCACCCTAGCGAGCTCACTATCGAGGTCCTTGAGTCGGCACTCAAGGATGTCGAGAGCTACCTCCGCTCGGCAGCCTCTGCCTCTGGTGCTGTGCCCCCTCCACTGTTTCACGGGTGCACTGTCCCTCAGCTGCCCACCTTTACTGCCTCCCTCGCCACTGCCGCTATTGTCGTAACCGCAACTGCTGTTACAACTTCCTCGAGGCCTCGGGGTAGGAGTGGCAGGAGGGGCGGTCAGGGTGCGGGCGGAGGCGGCGTAGGCGGTGGGGGTGACGTGGCGAACAGCGGCGGCGGGAGTGCAGGGGCTGGAGGAGCGCCTCGTGTAGCGGCCGGTGACTCCCCTGCTACAGCTAATGGAGGTGACGCCCAGGTTTGTCAGCCACCTACTGGTCTGCCAGCCACAGGGGTTGGAGCAGCGGCGTGGTACCTGACTCAGCGACAGCAGAAGCAGCAGCCCCTCCCCTCGCAGTAGCGGCAGCAGCAGGTTTCTGGGCAGGGGTCAGGACAGCGTCAGCTGCAGCGCGGAGTCGTCCACCCTCCCTGCACCTATCACGTTCTGACAGGTGCCCGCCGCGGCCAGCCTTGTGGTCGCAGCCACCCACCGGGTCAGTGCTTTGCTCGGCTTACTGACACGGTTCGGTTGGCCTACTGCATTGACGGCCCTGCCCCTGACTAGCTTCCCTTGTTCAGAAGTATGGCCCCGCTCTGTGGGGCATGTCGGCTTCTCAGTTGGTTGATCTCTTTTGAACTCCTCATGCTATGTATGTTGTTGTTTACTCGAGTGTTGTTAGCTTAGGTGCTAGTCTTGCTGAGGTGCCTGTTGCTAGTGTAGGTACTTGTGTAGACATTAGTCCATGAGCTGCTCCGGAGGATGCTTCACTGTCTTGCACTCTGGACTCCCGAGCTTCGCATCTTCCGCGACCGCACGACACTTACCCCGCTTCCTGCACCGGTCTCTGTAGCACTGGCTGATCCCACTTCGGGACCAGTCACTGCTCGCTACACTACTACGCTTCCGTGCCCGGCTGTTCCCTCCGGTTCTCTGACCGGCTTCCACGTCTCCTCGTTCTCCAGGAACTTAGTGGGCATGAGGCCGCTCGTGCGTCAGCACGTGGGTGTGTGGATTGAGCCTTCTGGCAAGACTGCGGTTTGTGTTGACGGGGACACGTACGTGTCAGAATGAACGGACAGGAATGGAATGAACTAAACGTGAAATCAGTACAAGTACCTAACCCTAGAATTGTGTACCCCCTATAGGCTAACCCACTGTAGCCTAAACAAACACAACATATATAATGTTTGACACACCCCCATAGGCGAAGTGGGGGAGAACTAGGGGTCACAAGACCGGTCAAGGCAAAGCAGGACACAACAAGCTCAGGGTGGATCTCAAGGATTCCACACAAATTCCGAGCACAAGCAAGTGGTCACAAGACCAGTTCACATGCAGGTTTATAATAGAGCAAGAGGTACAATGATCACAACCTAGCAAGAGTAAACATGCAGGTATATATATAGAGATCACAGTACAAACAGAGTCAAGAAGTAAGCAAGTGA